ACTGAACATGGGCAGGTGGGCTTAACACTTTCTGAAGTATTCTTTTTTTTTTTGTGAAGCTGCAAGAAAAAGAAATAATGAACAACTCATCACTGTAGCCCCTCTTGGAAAATGGCAACTGAAAGGTGACAAAACAGAGAGGCAGAAGAAACTGCAATGTGGTATACTGTGACATAAATATGCCGGGGGTCTTTCACATTCCCACCTGCAATATCACATTCAAAGAATGCCTTTTACCAGAGGCAAGAGAAGCCATGAAGTGACAAACTTTATGGGAGGTGATGAAATGAGAAATTATCTATTACAGAGAAAACAGATAATTCACGAGGAAAAAGAGGAATCCCATGACAAAAAACAGTATGTCAATTGCCTCAAAAAGGAGCAGTACAAGCACGATAACAGTTAACAGCCTGAACAGCACAAAGGAAATGATTGGGGTCTGAATGATCATGTAGAGAGGAAAGTGAAGGGAGGGTAATTGGAGATTGTTTGTTTTTTGAATTTCGCTCAAAGCTACACGAGGGCTATCTGTGCTAGTCGTCCCTAATTTAGCAAAGAAAGACTAGACGGAAGGCAGCTAGTCATCACCACCCACCGCCAACTCTTGGGCTACTCTTTTACCAACGAATAGTGGGATTGACCATCACATTATAACACCCCCACGGCTGAAAGGGCGAGCATGTTTGGTGTGACGGGGATTCGAACCCGCGACCCTCAGATTGCGAGCCGAGTGCCTTAACCACCTGGCCATGTAATTGGAGAATACATACAAACACTCTCCCAAGCAACCCAAGTTTTCAGAAGGAAGGAACAGTCTGAGAATAAAATCAACTCATCTTTGTGGTAAAGCATTGGAAGCATCCAAAACAAAAATATCAGACTACTCTCTCAAAAGTCACAGGGATACGAAAATACTTCTTAAGAGAAAGATGGTATGGGTAACAAGTGACGAAGGGTTCAAGTGGATGACAAATAAGTGCCCTGAGAACTAAACAGAGGTTGCAGTCCAGAAGAGGAACTGAATGAGGACAACAGATTAGAAAGATCCCAAAGATGTCTGTAACAATTGGAAAATGACAAGGATAATGGCTAATATATGAAATATTATCAACTGTAATGTAACTGGTGGTTGTAGAAATGAATAAACTGTCCTTGAAAAGCCAGGTAAAAAAGGAAGTGAGATGAGGAGTCAGAAGGCCCGAAAGAATGAAGTGGCAAATGGACCAGTATCAATGACTCACCTGCAGTGATAAAGTGCAAGGGTGGATGACTGACAAGAGCAAGCAAGAAAACAGGTTACTCTGAGAGAAAAACCTGCCAATCTTACAATAGACTAAACAAAATCCACAGGCAAAGATGAAGGTGTGGAACACTGATGAAAGACTGACGTCCTAAGCTTGTGCAACAAGGAATCTCAAAAACAGAAGGGATAGAAGTCCCAGTATTACCAAGAGGTAAAAAAACAGAATCATGATCAAGCTGATCAAAGAGGGGCAATAAAAGAACTAAGCAAAAGATGCTGATAACCAACAACGTGAAAGTTTGATGTACAGGGGGGTCACAAGTACATTGATAAAGGACTCGCAAAGCGAGACCGAATCCATAGAAACACAAGATGTAAAGACCATTCTGCTGGAGAGTTGGTTCACAAGAGACAGCTGATATGCCACGAAACTGAAAGATCTCAGAACAAGGAAAGCCAACAATTAGATATTGTTGTAAGACCGAAAAAGGAGCTCAAGAATAAAAAGGCAGAGGTCCCAAGAGTGTCTCTCAGTTGGTTGATATAAGAAACAACAGCAAAGTTGTTGAAATAGATTAAAACACAATGTCCAGACAGGTCCATTGGATTCCCCAAATTTTAAGGACAATGGTGTGGAAAGATTGCTTCACAGGAGACCAAACATGGCTTACTAATGACTAGTGCATAACAATGGCTTACTAGTAACACTATCATGGTCAGATAGGGCCATAGAAAAGTGAAATACATGATTGCATGTTGAGAAGAATCACAATATCCATGAAAGCACTAGTGATGTTCCATTAAGGCAATCTGCTGTGGTGATCACAACTGACACATTAAAGGTATTGTTTCTTGGCCAGAAAACTGGCTTGACTTATACATATATTATCTGTGAGAGTGGTAATAGTATCAGATGTGATATCTTGAACAGTTATTTCTCAGAGTGGTAATGCTTCAGGAAATTTAGGAAGAGCAACTCTGAACAACTCAGATTAACTTAAATGCAACTTGCCATGTAAGGTAAAGTGACCATCACAGGTCAAGAAATGTAATGCACATAATCTGTGGAACTTGTACAAGCAGTTATTGGTAGAATAAAGGTATGCTATACCAATCAACCACCAAAACATAATCTCCAAAGTTATCAGGCAGAAAATCTTTTAGATGTTTTTAAGCAAGACTAAAGGCAACATACAAAAATGTTTCTTCTGACTACATTCATGTCAGTACATTAAGTGATGAATCAAACACAGAACTATGCGTGTTTACCAAAGGAAACTGGAAAAACAGATACTCCAAGAGAATGGTGTACATTCTAGTCTTGGATATAGCTGATCCTCTTCCAGATTGACTAGATAGTCAGTATGTACTATTAACTATTTTTCCAAGTGAACTAAAGTTCAATCATTCAAATTTGATGTGGCCTTGTATCATGGAAACATTCATCTGGTCATTACCTCAGTCTCAGAAACCTTAGTCCATCAAACTGTAAGTTAGCTTTCTTCTCAACTGTAGGTTTATTGTATTCATCATGCTGCTTCACCACTTGTTTCTCAGTAGATGACAGGTTCATCTGTTTTGGTGAAGTTCTTATCAGACGTTTTGATTATATTACAGTGATATCACCTGTGAACATACTAATTAAATGTTTAATGGGATTTCTATGTATTAAAAAAATCCTTCCTAGAGTTAAGACCTAAAAGAAAGCCCAGAAAAACACACGAAGATCCTTCATTGGCTATACTTCTGTTTCAGCAATGCAGCCAACCAACACCACAGCTACAGACTCCACTGTTGGGGTATCCACATCTTTAGCTGTACCATTACTTGCCAAGAAGTATTAACAATACCAAATCCACCTTGAATAGCCATCTTTAATTTTGAAGTGATAAGCTAGAGGGAATGCAGGTAGTCAACTCCAACCACTGCCATCTTTTGTCAGACTGAATAGTAGGACTTGACCCATACTCTTATTAAACCCATGCCCTGGTGTGTGTCACAATTTTTTTTGCAAGTAACAAAAAGCCAGGAACATGAGTGAGCCACAGACAAATCCGAAGAAAATTGGCTTCAGGTTTGGACCTTCCAAACATACACGTATTCCCACTTCTTGAATCTGCATCAATATAATCATTGAAACAAGCCTCACCACTCAAGAAATTAAAAGAAATATAGCAAAGCCACATCATTTTATCAAAAATGTCTAGTACAACTGAAAAACAACAACAAAAAAAGCTCATAAACACTTTTATGTTTATCCTGGATTATTTTTAACACAGAAAATTTTATTTTCTTATTATGCATATATTATTTCCTGCATTCTTTTTTGAATATTCTTATAGCAATTTGAAGATCGTGGGAAGAAAAATAATTCATCCTAATTATTCAGTATTAACTACATCAGTTAATCAATATAAAAGCCTAATGTATGGTGGTGTTTTTTTTTTTACCTTGGTGGGGATGATTGTCTTGGATCATGCTGGTGTCATAAGTGCATCTCTTCAGAATGGACAACAGTATTTGCTGTATTATTGTTTTGATTAATGCACTCATGGAGCTTTATTTTTTGATATGGACTAATGTCCTAATTCCAAGAATTGATTGTTAATAAAGTTCACTTTCTCCTTGTTTTTAACAATGTTATAGTCATTTTTTTCAATTCAAAGTTGAAAATTTACATTTAACTGCACAACACGTTTTCTGTCTTTCCTCTTGATATTACAATTGCCATTCATAATTGTAGGGTAGTCAGTACCCGAGAATATCAGAAAGAATAGTTTTAATTCTTGTAACAAAAAATATGTTGTTCAACATTGCAGTACTGTACTTAAATTCTCTATTCAGTTCTAAAATATTAACAACTAAATTAATGTGACCAGATTTTGTTCATAACATAAAACAGAAACTTTAGTTCTTAATTTCACAGAGATTTAAGAAGGTGAATGTAATAACTTTACAACTGAAGTTTTCTTTATGTTATTAGTAATTAATATTTTACTGCCTGAAGGTCTATGACTTGTTCCTCCTTTGCTTTTTTAGCACAAAGTCACATTGGGTTATTTGATGTGTCCACTGTGGGCAATCGAACCTTGGATTTTAGTGCTTAAGTCTGTAGATTTATTGCTTTCCCACTGGGGAGAACATTCACATTTTGTGTTTCCTTATTTGATAAAAGTGATCTTATGGAAAGAAAAACTGTAAAATACATACTTAGAATATAATGCATCTTATTATTTTTTTAGTATAGTCTGAAAAAAAAAGGTTAAACTGAAAAGTGGAGTGAATAGAACAATGTTCCATATTTGAATTTAAAACAATACAGAAAAAGATACACTATAACCTACGACTGGGGTGTATTTCCCAGTCTTGGTTTGTATACCATTAATTATAGTGAACAAGGGAATCAAGATAACTGTTTCATTCATTTTACTGTTTTTTAACTTACTCAAGACTGTACACAGAAGATGCATTAAAACTTGTATATATATATATATATTACTTTATCTTGTTTTTCTATAACCAGGTAACAGTTTTAAAACAAGCTGAACTTTGTTGCCTATTGGAATACTTCTGGTATCTTTGTTTTGTTATCTGCATGTTGCCCCAAACCTTCCTAAAGACATCCTCTTGTAATGCAATAAATAAAAAAAAAGAGGCAATTCAAATATTTAGATTTTTTTATGTGAATGCTTATGTAACTAAATTCAAATTGAAATAACAATTTATTATTTTGTTACTTCTATGCAGTAAAAAACAATACAGTAATAAGTTTAAACCAAAATACAACCTATTCTGTTATGTTTGTCAGATGACTGATTTTATTTACATACTCAAAGACAAGCACTTTGGTTATTTATACACTGCTGTGCTTCCAGAACATTCTCGAACTAGAAACTTATTGGATTTTATATAACAAGATAACAATTTTAAACATCCAACTTGTACACTGATAACGTTAAAATATACAAAATTAAAGCAGTTTGGAAAGTATCTGTTTCAATACAGAAAAATAACAATAAACAGTAATGTATCTACTTGTGATGGGTTATGCTTCAATAACAATGTTTAAAATTAACGTAAGTGCTACAAAATTTTTCCTCTAGCTTAAAGAATCCTAAAAGGAAAAAAAAAAGGATTAATGGCCCATAGTGAAAATTAAGCAGTAATCAAAACTTCTGCAACCTTGTCATTGTTTTTATCTTTATTATCATTTAACCTGTGCAAATAATTCCACAAATCATAACAGGATTCATGAAATCACACAGATGTTTTCTCTTACAAAACACCTGACAATTCTTACAAGTTATGGTTTTATATCATTCATATAGTAACAATATTCTCTCTCCAATTCTTTGAAAAACATTTTAAATTGTGTTTTAACTCCAGTCTTTGACCTGTTTCTACTTCAGAACATTTAAAGATGCTAGGACACAAATATCATACTTCGATAGTTATCTCTATTCATTAAACCCTCCAGCATTTTAGATTAATACTTCCAACATCATACCTCGATAGTTATCTCTACTCATTAAACCCTCCAGCATTTTAGATTTCTACTACTTCCAACATCATACTTCGATAGTTATCTCTACTCATTAAACCCTCCAGCATTTTAGATTTCTACTCCTTCAAACGTTTTGTCCACACTAAACAAATTAAGGATTATCTCTAGAAGAGAATAGTTGTTCCCATGTTGAACGAAGGCCTAGCTATGACACGACCCTTGTCACTGGAATTCAGTGATTTTTTATATAGAACTTAACACCATCTAAACATCTCCTCTAAGTACCAGGATGGTTCAGATATGTTGCTAATAAATATGTAATAAGGCCACACCCTACTGACAAAATTTAAAAATTCATGAACCATATAAGCAGACAATAATCAGTCATACAATTCACAATAGAAAAATATAACAAGTTCCCCTTACCTAGAAACAATACTCATCCAGATATGTAACTCATACACAACAGTTTACAAAAAAAACAACTTAGATACTGGAAAACACTTTAACTGTACACCAAGCCACCATATAACATTGGATATCACAGGCTGCTTTGTCTTCAAATACAACAAGATTTGTAACACAGAAGATGATAAGATGAATGGTTCTCCTTGGCAATGGATACCCTGAATATTTAAGGAAAAGATGAATGTTAAGAGTAAGCAGGAAGGAAATTATATAAACACAGTCATATTGCTCATGTTTTCAGAAACCATAACATAGTATGATAGTAGTTAGTGCATACCAATTAACCTAAAGAAGAAATGAGAAGTAAAACCTCTATGAATATGAATTTCAATATATGGGAGAAACAAAAAAGACCAACAAATGTCAGAATTCAAGGCACAATAGATTACACATACAAACAAATGATCTTTTAACCATTTTTTTTACCAACAAAACAACTGGATTTGAGCCATATGCACACACAAAAGAAAAAAAACATTCTAGATCTAGTTAACAGATAACACACTTATCCCACTGAGCTCAGAAATCAGCTAAGCCTAGATACCTTACTTATAAAATAGTTAAATCAGTCAAATCTCAGTGTGAGAAGAACCCAGAGAAGTGGGAATTACCCTAACTTTCTAACAAAAAGACCCAGATTTGAATCTAGATTTGCCACAATATACATTTCAAGATCTCCCTTAAGATGGCACCAAATAAAATGTATTGTCAAAACTAATTTCTAATCAGTGACTAAAATACAAAAAAACTAACAAATAAACAGTTAGTATTTGATTACTGTATAAGTTACTAACCATAATGATGATTGGTATCCAATCCAAATCCTAACTATACAAGAGTTATATTATGTAAAACTAACCTGTCATTATTAACAAATCTGTTTAATATTAAAAAATCATCTAACTGTTCTTAAATGTTCACAACTCTTTAGTTTTAATTAAAAAAAATATTTTGGTAATCATGGAGATTTTTCTTTCCCCAATAAATGAAAACCATTGCAAAGGATTTTATTATATTATATACACAGTGATATTTAACATGTTTTTCCCTGAAGGCCTTTGTAACACACTTCACACTACATTTATCTTACTTGTTCCGCTTCTCGAAGTTTTAATAAATAACAACCATCTTAAAAATTGTAACTAAATACATCATACCCAGACGCTTTCTCTACAATTTGTACCACCTGATGCTTTACAGTTCCACACGTCGTACTGATGTGGCTTTTACACATGAATCATGCAAGTGTTCCCTGTCATAATTGTACACCATAACTAAATATTTCATATTTCCGTGGCTTACCCCAAGTATGAATCCTCTAGAATTGTATTAACGTGATTATAACTTCCAATTTCTCACCACATACTGTATAAATGTATGGTTTCTCTCATGTAATTTTAAGCAACTATTTTATTAACAAATTTTTTCCACATATATATTTAACGGCTCTGTGGTTACTCCCCAGCGTGTATCTTCAGGTCATAATTTTTCTTAATATCTTGTTACTTACTTCAAGATGAGTATGATTTTTCTTCAGTGTGTGTCCTCTCATGTATTCTTCTATCAGAATTTCTTGCAAATTTTCTTCTACATATTAAGCAACTGTATGGTTTATCTCCAGTGTGTACTCTCTGATGCATCTTTAATTTATTATTTGTTCTAAATTGTTTGCCACACAATATACAACTGTAAGGTTTCTCCCCAGTGTGTATTATTTCATGTCTTCTTAAGTAACTATGTCTTCGAAATTTCTTTCCACATATTACACAACTATATGGTTTTTCACCAGTGTGTATTGTCTCATGCTTTTTTAAGTTACTATTACATACAAATTGTTCACCACAAACTTCACAACTGTATGGTTTTTCTCCTGTATGTGTTTTCTCATGTTTTTTTAGGTAACTATTTCTTCCAAACGTTTTTCCACAAATAACACAACTATATGGTTTCTCTCCAGTGTGTACTGTCTCATGTTTTTTTAAGTTACTATTACATACAAATTTTTTACCACAAACTACACAACTACAGGTTTTCCTTGTGGTATGTATCATTTCGTGTGCTTTCAGTATATTATTTCTTCCAAAGTTTTTGCCACACACTATACAGCTGTATGGTTTTTCTCCAGTGTGTATAACCTCATGTTTTTTGAGGCTACCCTTTGTTCCAAATACTCTGCCACACACAAAACAATTGTATGGTTTCTCTCCAGTGTGTATCCTCTCATGTACTTTTAGGTTACCCTTTGTTCCAAATTCTTTGCCACAGATTACACAACTGTATGGTTCCTCCCCAGTGTGTATCCTCTCATGTTTTTTTAAGTTACTGCTACCTACAAATTCTTCACCACAAACTACACAACTATGTGTTCTCTTGGCATCATGTACCATCTCATGTGATTTTAGGTTACTAATCCTTCCAAATTTTTTGTTGCACACTACACAACTGTATGGCTTCTCCCCAGTGTGTAACTTTTCATGTTTTTTGAGGTTTCCTCTTGTTGCAAATTCTCTACCACACACCACACAGCTATATGGTTTCTCTCCAGTGTGTATCCTCTCATGTACTTTTAGGTTACTAAGTCTTCCAAACTGTTTGCCACACATTTCACAGCTGTATGGTTTGTCACTACTAGAAGGGATACCAGATTGTTTTAGCTTATCTCCATTTGAATTCTTTTTTACAAACACACCACTATTGTTTGGTTTCTGAGATCTTCCAATTTTTCTTTCTGTAAAGGGACCTTCTTGTGTTAAAAAATGATCATCAGTAAACTGATTTCGATTACAGTTGGTCTTTACATCTGAAAACAAAATACAATAACAAGAAATAGTTATTAGTAAATACATCATACTTTATTTTGATGTAATTCTAAATATATTTCTAATGGTCTAGTACAATCAACTGATAAAATGTAGTTATACACCTTTAAAAAAAATTTCAGAAAGTTGAAATGTTATTATCATAGTATTAAGGTTTAGAAAACATTTCTACTCTTGTTACAAACAGCATGAAAAGCATAAAATGGAAGTAAGCCTACATGTTCAATAGGAAGGTTTGCAGTCTAAAAACTTATCATGACAACCAACATTACCTTCAATCTGTAATTTCCTGGATTAATTTTCTAAGATAAGTATATCATACTTCAAATGATTAATTATCATGAATTACTTCTAATGTATTGTCCTCCAAGACATTGACTGATATCAACAACAGAATTCTTGTTTGAAAGTTAAATAAGTTCTAGAAATGTCAATGTTTAGACAAACAGAAACTGTTTATATGTGTGTTATTTATTCTTTTATCAAGTTTAGGATGCAATCCTCTTCATAGAAACACTGAAAGTACTTGCTCCAATATGCAAAATTAAGAGACTTTGGGTTTGAAACACAAAAATATTGGAAACTGTAATGCTTTAATCATTCAGAAAACCATATCCATGGAAAACAATCATAGCAGGACATTAGATATACATGCTGAAACATTAGTCAAGGAAAACTGTTTCCAAAAGTTTACACATAAAGAAAATTAGCTGTTTTCTCTATTGAACTCCCAACAAGCTTTGCCAATTTTATTTTTTTTTTTTGCCTTAGCTATGATTGCTAAATTCCAACAGAATCCTCAAGTATCACAAGCTGATGGACAATCAACAAACATGTTTACTGAGGAAGTGATAATGGAGAATAATTCATTCTTCTAGTATTGTTAACTGTTCCAATTGCACTAACTACTTGAAGTTATTTTTTCTTTTACAACAAAGTAATTTATTTTCACAAAAAAGGAGGTTTTACCTTCAAGTTTTAAATTCTGTGCTCTTATTTACACCAGTGAAAAAAGAATTTTCAAAATTACATATTACATGACAAAGCTGATAAGTGAAAGAGACTCTGGGACCACAACTTCTGACTACTAAGGCCAGTGCTCTACCAAATGAAATATCCAAGAGCAGAAGACGTTTTTGGCTCCTTACTATGAATATGATCATCATACTACATCATGATGAGGTAGTAACTAGGTTGATTTAACCCCACCCAATCAGATTATACGAAAACTATTATGGCCATACATTTTAAATTCTATTAGGAATCAAAGAAAGAAAGATCCATTTTTAACATTATATATTACATGAAGAAGCTGGATAGCTCAGTTGGTAGAGCTTTAGGCTTTTTAGCCAGAGTTTGGGTTCAAGTCCTAGTCCAGGAATATATTTTCAATTCCTGGTTTTTTCACGTAACATGTATTTACATTAATCTCATAAACAGCCGAAGAGGAAAAGCTGAAGCTTGTGGATCCACCAATTATTTCTGTTACACTTATTAAGACTAAATATAGAAAAACATGGTTAAGAACAATTTCTGTATGTTTATATGCAATGTAATATGTATTATTATGTGCACATTATAGCTACAATAAGATACTACTTCAGTTAGTACTGTGTGTGGGTATAAATGTTGTATAGTTTTCAACTTTATCAAGCATCTCTTGCAGAATTTTTACAACAACTTTCAATACTATCTTTCATTCTATTGTATGGCCTGAGCTGTAACTGTACATCTTCAACTGTTTTTCGAACGGCCTATGCTTTAGCTGTACATCTTCCACTTTTTTTTGTACAGCCTGTGCTGTAACTGTACATCTTCTGCTGTTTTTCATATGGTCTGTGTTGTAATTATACATATTCTGCTGTTTTTCATATGGCCTGTGTTGTAATTATACATCTTCCACTGTTTCTTGTACAGCCTGTGCTGTAACTGTACATCTTCTGCTGTTTTTCATATGGTCTGTGTTGTAATTGTACATCTTCTGCTGTTTTTCATATAGCGTGTGCTGTAATTATACATCTTCCACTGTTTTTCATATGGCCTGTGCTGTAACTGTACATCTTCCACTGTTTTTCATATAGCGTGTGCTGTAATTATACATCTTCCACTGTTTTTCATATGGCCTGTGCTGTAACTGTACATCTTC